ACATTTACATTGTTTTAATTTTAATATAGTCTAAGGTGTAATTAATTGATAAAAAAATGTAAAATAAAAAATATTTTTATACCTCAAATATGTTTCTTTTCCAACTAATTTAGAAAATGAATTTGAATGTTTTTTTCTGCCCTGCTAGTGAGAAAGTCCAAGTGGGCAGCATTAGGGTCATCAATGACAGATTGTTTTGCGTTGCCCTTCACATTTCAGAATATATGCAACTTGTATGTGATCTCCTGTGTGAACTGCATTCATACAACCTAAGTGTCCCGCTTGCGCAATAGAGGATGCAATGACGTCACAAGCAAGCGTGCTCTGTGTTTACGGATGTAAACATGGATGGTAGTGCTGGAGAACATCTAGCGATCTTTCCCAACCCTAAAAACTCATCTTTCCATGATGGTTAAACAGAAATACTGCTCTCCACATTATCGTTCACCATTTTTATTGGTTTTCTTGCCACTTCTGTGTAGCAAGAAGCAGAAGAGTGACCACTGTCGGGTATTAATGACATTCAGGTCGGATTAATGCGACCTGGCTGTTCAGACACAGATCTCATTTGAAAAGATCAGATTCGTATCGGATTCAGGACCACATAGCCAAGCGGCCTGAGTCTATTGGAAAAAATCAGATCTATGTTGTTTAGACTGCTATGAAAAGATCAGATCCAGGTTGCATAGGGGCCAAAAAATCGGATTTGGGTCACTTCAGGCTGCGGTGTGAACGTAGCCTCTGATTGGAGAAGAAAATACTCCAGTCTCTATGGATGGCTGAAAGGTTTCAATACAAATGCAGGCAAAATTTCAACATTGAAATAGTAGCATATAATCTACCATAGATTAGCCATAACTGTGATATTTTTAAACATTAATCTTTTCCTATATTTTTACACCAGTACACCCCCATCCTTATACCTTTACTCAATAAATGTGCCCTACCTTATGTTGGTCTGTCATAGGGGTGTGAGTCCCGTCTGCCATCCATCCTTTAATACACAGAATTTAATCAAATGGCAGAATTAAATTATCTGCCACTTCCTAAACAGCAGGCATGGTCCTGTAAAAAGCCTGATTGGCATAAATGTCTTAATATGCGTTTTCCTGTGCCCTTAACAGGAGTGCTGATGTACCGCGGTTTCCCTCTGGATCTCTTCATGGCCCAGTGTTATGCTAACGCCGATGACCTGGGGAAGGGCCGGCAGATGCCGGTTCACTATGGCTCCAAGGATCTGAATTTTGTCACCATCTCATCTCCTTTGGCCACCCAGATTCCTCAGGGTGAGACTGCATGTCTCCATTTGACCACTTTAATTAAGGAAGACGCTACTGTGACCAAAAGGAAAAAAAAAAGACTTTCAGATTATACTCATGCTGCTATTTTTTTTCTCAGCGGTTGGAGCTGCATACGCACTGAAACGGGAGAACATGAACCGTGCTGTGATCTGTTACTTCGGAGAGGGAGCAGCCAGCGAAGGGGACGCACACGCCGGATTCAACTTCTCAGCCACTCTGGAGTGTCCTATGATATTCTTCTGTCGCAACAATGGCTACGCGATCTCTACGCCGACCAACGAGCAGTACAGAGGAGACGGCATTGGTGAGGCAGAGGGGGGTTCCTGCTGACAGCGATGGAAGGTCTGAATAGTTCGGTCTCACCTTTGATTCGCTCCAACAGCTGCTCGTGGTCCTGGTTATGGGATGCTGTCCATTCGCGTTGATGGGAACGACGTGTTTGCCGTATACAACGCTACAAAGGAAGCACGGCGCAGGGCTGTGGCTGAAAATCAACCTTTCCTCATTGAGGCGATGACCTACAGGTTAGTACCCACATGCAGAGCAGCATATGGGCTTTTTCCAAACCCAGCCCATGTAATGTGTTTTTATTCAGTAAACGATCACAGCTTCTGTTGTTATTAGAGTTTAACGATTAGCAGCATCTGTTTGTACGGAAACTGAGGTGTGAAGGACAAAAATATAAGACTTGGATTAGCAACATATTAAGGATTAAAAAGATGAGTTAAACCAAATAAATCTCCCAAAATATTGAAAAAAATATTGACTTGCTGCATTAACTCATTCTGTCATTAAAAGCTTTGGTTACTCATAATATGATTGCAATTGTATTTCTGTATGTGATGACTCCACCTGACATACACACATGAAAACCAGAGGGCAGCAGATCATGTGAAAATATAATATTTGTGTCATTCTCAATACTTTAGGCCATGACTGTAGTTAATGATTATTTCAATAATCTATTAATAACAATTCATTGTTTCATCCCAAGATGAAATCATAGTCAAACTCTTGTCTTTGCACAAGAATGGACAAAAAAAAAAGTTAATAGAACTGCAGAAAGGTATTTGCAAATTAAAGATAATCTAATGAATGATTGTATCTAAATAAAATAGGTTGATCCTTCAAAATAACTAAAGGCAGCCATTATTGGACTCTCCGAAGCAAACATGTCCAAACTGTGCCCAAAGGATCAATGCTAACACACCTGAGACCCGTTAACACTAATTAGTCCTGAGACACCAGTGAGGGTAAAATGGCTAATGGGATCAGGTTTGAGGGTTGACCTCATTATACAAGCTTTACGCTGGCTGCCTTCCTTTAAATCAATGTGGCATTTCTCCAGTGTTGCTTCATGAAAATTTGTAGTAAAATATATGCTATAAATATGTGTGACGAGTTATTGTGAGAGACTGTAATGTTAACCTCAAATTTAACTATAAGATTTTTTTAGAGGGCAGGCTAATGAAACTGGGTCATTCTACATTTTAAGGTGTGTCGCTGACGGACACAAACGTTGCTGGATCTGAATAGCAAATTCCTCTAAAGGAGAAACCCTTAAAGGTTTTTTTTTTTTTTTTTTTACATTAATTACTTTTTCCTCTAAAGTTTTAATAGGTTCCCTCCTTAGATAGTTGTGGTTTCAAATGACCTCTGAAGTTTCTTTAGAAAGATTTACTAGATGAAGCCTCTAAGGCTCCAAATAAGGCGCAGGATTAAGACAAAGGATACTTATATTGTAAGGTTAGTTGATGGGTGGATAATGATCTGATCCATGCAAATGTATTTAGGAACGACCTTATCAGGTTTCCTGATAAGGTCGTTGTTGTTGCAGGCATCTGACATCCTTTTTTCTGTGTTCCTTTTTTGTCAAAATGCTTTTGAAAACCCCCTTTTTCCTCCAGAACTTCTGTCTGAATATTAGCAAGAAAAATGTGTCTTTTTCTATTGATTTAGAGAAAATAATTTTTTTTATATATCTAAATTAGGGCTGGGCGATATGACCTCAAATCAATATCCTGATAAATTGAGCTGCTTTACCTCGATAACGTGAATGCACCGACTCTTCTATCAGAAATGAAGGCATGTGCAGGAAATGCAACTGGTCTATTTATAATTTATTTATTGAATAAATCACTTTAAATATTTTATGTAATTACATATTAAAATCTTTTAACTATTCAGGTTTAAACTTTCAACAATGTCTCATTGAACAGGAGAAAAATTTTAACTCTCTTGCAAACGTTTTTGTGCAAAGGTAATGGAGCCTTTTGCACGTCGGCTTTTCTATAGGTGATGAAGGTTGGATATGCAGTACCAACAGTTTTCAGACAAACTTTGCATTTCCGGTTCTTTTGCTCAACACCTATGGCGTAATTTTATTGCCATTGAACTGAGTATGCACTGAGAACAATGTGCATTGTTTAAACTCGCACACCCTCAATAAAAACTTGTCTGTAGCCCGCTTAACTCTGACAACGTGCTCAGCTTCATCTCTGCTCTCGCTCGGCTCCACAGGATTAACCGAAGTAATTTTGCTTACTGCTGTGTTAGACGCTTCTTCACTGGGCTCATCCGCCATTCTCTTTGCTTACGCTTCTGACTGGATCGGTTCTGACTGGATCGATTAGACACCTGCTGCCACATCTTAAAGGGGAAGGAAATACCAGCCACCCTCGCACACAGGAAAAATGGCAGAATTATTTACCGGGAAAAAAAGTTGCTCGTTATCGTAGTGAATGACGGTAACAGTAAAAAACCGGTTTATCGCCCAGCCCTAATCTAAATATAAAACTCCTAGAATGGAGGAAAATGGCACAATTATCCTCAAAGCACCATGTAGATCACTAATAACTAACAAAATTGATGCAAACTCTAGGATTGTTTCAAAAGCACTCTAAATCCTTCTGATTTAGATAGTGTGCACACTTATACTGATAATTATATCAACTGTATGTACAACTCAAAATGGCCTGTACCTATATAGCCCCTTTTCAGGTCTTCACACTACATTACCTACAATCTATATACAGTAAAATCAGTTTTATATGGATGTTCAGTTTTTTAGATTGGGCAGCCCATGAGTTGCCATTTAGTAGCAAGCTAGTTAAACGTTCAAGGGTATGCTGATTAACCAAGGAAGGGAAGTTGGATTTGAATACCAAATTCTTGGGGAGGAAAGATCCTCACGTCATTTGTTTGAAGAAACTACTTTTACTTTCAAATGTAAAAAAGGGCGAACCTAAAACGTAATTGTGGACTCCCCTCAGAATCGGGCACCACAGCACAAGTGATGACAGCTCGGCCTACCGCTCTGTAGACGAGGTGAACTACTGGGACAAGCAGGACCACCCCATCTCACGGCTGAGGCACTACATGACGGCGCGCAGCTGGTGGAGCGAGGATGACGAGCGCAGCTGGAGGAAACAGTCTCGCAAAACCGTGATGGAGGCTTTCGAGAGAGCCGAGAGGCGCCTGAAGCCCAACCCGGAGCTGCTGTTCACCGACGTCTACCAGGAAATGATCCCCAGCCTGAGCAAGCAGAGGGAATCCCTCTTCAGGCACATCCAGCAGTATAAAGAGCACTACCCCCTCGACCTGTATGAAAAGTAACCACTGCTGTGGCAATGTTGAAGGGAACAAAGGTGGTGTGTGAGGACTGAACGTAGCTTTTATACACGTTGATGTGTTATTTCACAGGCTTTTCAACTATGTCTAATGGTTTTCGGTGCCTTACAGTAGAGGTAAAAGCCACATTCACCAATATCCGATGCTTCCATTACATGTTTTTTCTTTTTCCTTTTTATTCAGACAAGTCGGAATCATTCAAATAAAAATGCAAATAAAACGGGATGCCTTTGTGCTTTACCATAGAGCGGTTTCCTCGAGTTTGAATCAGGTCATCTGGATTCCTCAGATCAATCTGTAGTCTTTGTTCGTTTGTTGAGATGCTGTTACAACCTGTACTGTTTTGCTTCTGAGCTAAACATGTTTGGTGAAAATAAACTGTAGAACATTGGTTGTGTTCATTTTTTTTATTATTATTAAAAATTACAACAAAAATAGGCAGGGTTAGAAAAGATGTGTATTCAGCTTTGCTAGAAATTAGCTATGCAGTTCATCAGCAAAAACGGCAACTGGTTATTCAATCTGTTGAAACTCAGAATCCTCTTTGGCTGGAAACTGAACGTTTCCATGCAGGCCTCGTTGCTCTTTACCCATCAGTTCAACACGTCAGCTTTGGATGGTGGATGCCCTTCCACATTCTCTCGATCTCCCTCGGGGAGCGCTGGTGGATCAGAAGATTGCCTTTGTGTACGCATATGTTCTCACGATCTTCTTTCCTAACATCAAAGGTCTGAAACCTTTCATTCCCCTCTGCGACAACTCCCAGAGCTTTCATGCACAGGCCCATATACACGTCATCGATGGGGAACAGAGGAAACAACTTTGAGACGAAAGAAAGAGACGGCATCAAGTCACCTGAGATCACAAACCCACCTCCACCAGCGTAGGCGGGGTAGGGGCCGCTGAAGAAGGACAGAGGGATGTAGTATTTGCTTCTAGGGTCCCTGAGGGGACTAGCTGTGGTCAGGACGTGTCCAGTGTACAGGCGAGATGCTTTAGAGGCGTCTAGAGATACCAGGTAATTGATCAGCCCATCGGTGTTGACAAAAACATCATCATCCCCACTGAAGACAAAGGACACCTGGGGACAGTTTCTCACAGTCCACTGGAGGAACATGTCCATCTTGAGAGTCAAGTTCAGGAGGGACTCCTGGAAGTCCCACTGCACGATGTCTTTAAAGTGTTTGGCCTCAAATGACAGCAATGTGCCAACGTCGGGGTCATCAGGAGGTTGGTTGCCAAGGAAGAACACCAAACGGACCCTCCGTCCGTTCATATACACCCCCTCTCGCCCCCATGTCTCCCGCACCGCTTGCCTCCTCTCAAAATTCGCTGGGGAGGACTTGATGGCGAACAGCAGGTAGGTGTGGTTGCTGCACTTGGCGGGCTGATTGATCAAGATCGGAGGAGCTCTGCAGTTCATGCCCATCAGGAATGTCTGAATCAGCCCCGGATAGGAGTGAAAGTCATGGATGTTTAGTCGCAGCAGGTCCTGATTCTCTTCCCTGCAGACAGACCAGGGGTGCTCTTTTCTCGAAGAGTTGCTGGCGTTCAAATCCTTCACTGCAGAGTAGAACAGACGGTTCCAGTACGCGGTGTCCTGAGGGATGAGCTTCATCAGGTCGTCAGAAGCCACGGTAATGTGAATGTTCAGAGGGGCAGATGTGAAGTACAGCTGCTTTGAGGAGTTTATCACCTGGTTGGTATTGGTCATCTCTAGATTTACCGTTAGGTAAAAGAAGAGCAGAAATGTAACGGCAAGAGCCATGGTATAGAAGATTTTATTACACCTCATTAGTTCAGGGAATTTAAACAAAGCTTTAGGGGGGGGTTCTAGATCACAGGTTGGGTGCCAGGAGGTGATAGTCTGGATGCTCCTGCAGAACAGAAAAGTCCTGCATCAAATCAGGGAACCTGGATGTGAAGAGAAGGTATAAACATAAATATAACCATCTTCAGACTCCTATTAACAAGCAGCTAATATCTCTACATTTATTTTAGAATCTACAACAAAAAAGGGCTTTATGCTCATGAACCTGTGTGGATGAATCAAATGTGCCACAACTGTTAAAACAATGGCTGATTGCGCTCAGATCCTTTACTAAAACTAACCATTACTGAACATTTAGCTGTTTGTTATTGAGTTTAAAAACATAAAGAAACTGGCAATTTATTGATTGGGAAATACTCATGATCAGTATTTCATGAATCCACCAGTTATAGTAGCAGGTCAGCCACTGTGTTTGGATTTCTAACTCTGGTTGTTAAGGTATATTCCTTCAATGTCAGAAGAGGCTTGAATTTGTTGACCCCTATAACCAGTTTTATCTTTCACCTTTGCAGTATATTTGAAATGAAGGTGTGTCCCTTTAGACTGTAGCTTCATTTAAACAGGATTGGTTATTATCAGGGGTTGACAACCTTAGCTGTACTATATGATAAACTATTTCCCTGTTTTATTTTTTTCTTTTGTTCTCCAGGTTAATTTGTTCTAGAATCACCACTGCTGAAGAGGTAAAATATTACCTGGATGAAACATTTAACTTGGCTTCATGCTAGCAGAAAAGCAAACAGGTTATTTAAAAGAAACTAGTCAGTCTAGATCTAGTAGATTCAAAAGGGAAAGCCTTATAGGTAACTTTAAGATTATAAATTGTACACATTCTTTATCATATAACTGAAAATGTACATTAAAATTAGCTAAGATTGAGAAATGTTCAACCCTACATGTCCAGACATGCTTTTCTTTAAAGAAAATGTATATATTTGCAGAGCTTTAACTGTAAACTTTTAGTGCAGTAAAGCATTAACCATCTACTTATGTTACTGGTTGTTTAAGACCCTAAATAACCTCTGGGGGGAAGAAAGAAAACAGCTCTCTGGTGGCTAATTAGAAACAAACCAACAGAACACAGAGGAACTGCAGATAGAAATCCCAAAGTACCTGCCTGCAGCAGTGAAAAACGTTGGAACATTACCTGTTCTCCTCAGAACTTAAAAAATATCTGATTTACTATAAATTCTACAGCCAAATCATCACAAAGACTTATTGGCTGTGAAATGAAACAAATTCTAAAAGAAATATCTAAAAAAAAAAAAAAAAGACGGCTACTTACGAGACACATGAAGCCACCGGTACAGAAAAGAACCAAATTAGTTCTCCCTGTGATCGTGGTCTGTTCCTCGACATAGGGTTTTGCCCAGCTCATATTTCCAGTTTAACCACTGATGCTGCACCTTCTTCCACCTTATCGTAAAATGAAAGCCAGTTGAGCCGGTGCAGAATAAGCTTTAGGTTGAAACCACGCCCACAACACTGCTGCAGGTACACTCAGGTTTATTTAACAGGAAACAGACAAGCTTTTTAAGACCAAATGTTTCACAGGATCATCAGGAGGAGACGGCAGCACAGTGTCCGGATCTATAAAGCTTTTTTTTTTTCTTCTTTTAAATGTATTGCACCTCCAGCAGGCCATAAAAACAGATTCTTATCAGCCTGGTTACAAACGTGTTAAAAAACAAAAGTAAAACCATTCTTACACGGTAGAAAACTGCTTACTAAATCCACGAGTCGTTCCAAACCATGACTTCAAAGATCACTGCTTGTTTTCTTTTATCTTATCAGGAAACATATATGCACTTCACTGCTAATCATTCTACAAAGCATAATCACTACTGAATTCTAGCCAAATCCTGCCGTTCACAACCTGAGAGCAGCTTAAGGCAGAGGAGGGTTTAATTACTGTGGGAAAAACCTCGGACTCTTCAATCAGATCCTTTCTAATTAGACGTGCCTAAAGAGGACCTGCGGCGCTCCATTCAACAATGAAAACATCCAAATGTTACAGGTTCAGGCAGGCAACGCATTTCAGTTCCTTTAGTTTATTCTGGACAAATGAATCAAACTGTTAGCCTAGTTATCATTCTCTCATCCATCACAGTGAAAATAAAATTAAATCTTTATCATACAAGTGTGCTGGTATTATCATCATTCGGTATTGCATCCCAATTGTGAATATTCGGACCAGAACCAGGCCGACACCTGTTACAAAGTAAGTGTATAACTGATTCACTGGGTGCAAAGGAGCACTCAGGGAGATAGTGTTCATACGAATGATATAAAGACTTTTCTAAGGGAAATAAAAGGCAACAAAGACATATAGCGGAACAGCAGAAAACAGAGTACAACAGATCATAAAATGATGAATGCAGCGGGAACACGAGAGCCAGCTTGAAGGCAAAAATGAGGATGTAAGCTGTTTGCTGGAGGCTAGGAGTTGAATCAGCGGAGGTCGCTCTCGTCGTCCTGTATGGTCTTCTTGATGCGTAGGAGCATGGTGGTGAGCCACTGGTCCAAACGGGAGATGGTGTCGAACTCCTTCACCTGGAAATATTCCCAGAAAAACAAATAATCACATATGTTGATGAAAACAAAGGATCCTTGTTGAGCCCACGCTGTTTTTGTTAGGAAACAAACATGGGATGCATGAGGAAGTGAAATCCGAAACGTTCATGATGCTTTTGTTCATTCTAGTCAGTCATTTTAGAGCGTTTATGAACTAGTTCTATGATTATGTTGGTTAATGAAATTATCCATTTCAATTACAGTTAAATATTTATATAGATCATTAAATCTATGACTAATTATTCTGAGTAAATACAAACTGTCAACTGATGAGCTCATTCATAGTTTGAACGATGGCATCCAGACCAACAGGCCAACCCGATGTGACAGTAATTCCCATGGCGCCTAAAAACTGGTTGAGTCGCCTTTAGCAAATACCAACAATTTTTTTCTTTGTTTATCTTTTGATATCACCCAGGCATTTTTAAACTATCTCACTGCCACCATTTTGATTGTTTTTTTCCCCTTCTGAAAAACAGCTGAAACACTATTGATCATATCAGACCTCAGGAAATGTTCCTTATCTTGAAGATCATTGTGTTTCAGCTAATATGAGGCACTTGTGTTCCTGTTCCTGTCAATACTGATTTTGTACTTGGATTTCTATTATGGACGCCATGTTTACACATTTAACACTAAGCTTGCATAAGGTTAGTCGGCAGCTCTCTAAATGTTGTTCTAGGTTCTTTTGTGACGGATTATGGCTCCAAAATCCTCAGAAATGCATCTATAGTACTTTTCTACAGAGGAGGATTAGGACAGTTGAATAAAAGTATAAGTCCACTTAAAAATAACTATTTTTCTTGGAAGACTGGGATTAAATTAAGGACTTCTGTTTCACCCTGAATGTATTTTCACAAACAGTCTGAATAAACCATATTCTACGGCAAGCTGTTGTCATACAGTATAGGAAAGTTCTTTGGCGTGACTGCAATGCCTTCCAGCAGACACACACCCAGAGTTTCAGAGCAGATAAATCTGCTGTTTGTCCATTAATATTTAGACCTAATTGCACATCCTCAGTGCTTTTAATCATTCCAATTTTGGTGGCTGATTAATAAAACATTTATATGGTTCAACAACCTCAGAACACACGTTTATTGCTACTTTGCAATGTTTCCACACCTCTTACTGTAGATTTTATCAAATGTTGTTGCTAGGAGCAACACACTGCAGGCTGTTTACTCACCGCATCAGTGTAGGCTTCCACGTTCTGTTCTTCATATGCATCTAGAAGTTTCTGTTGGGACAAAATAATTGAAATACGGACTTAATAAAACTGCATCAGTAACTTCAGGCTTAAATTAATTGCATCTGATTACAGCAGATTTTAATTCTAGTGTAGATATCAGCCTTCTCTTAATAACAAACAGATTTTTTTCTCTACTGTTTAATGTTAAGCAGTAAAGTTGGAGAGAAAAGTTTCTTCAGGAATGGGACTGGTGCTTTAGTTAAACAGACAGGAGCCAGCAGCGCTCATGTTGAAGTCCTCTGAACTTGGATTAAACCTCTTTATTCCAGGAATTATTTCCAGGAAAATGTGTCAGGAAGCTTCTCTGTTGGCACAAAATAGAACAAATTTTCCCATTCAGCTTATTTTTTCTGGAAAAACTGTTGTTTTTAATCTTCCAAATATTTAAAAGAAGGATTTATAAGGGAAAATAACACAGGTCCACTGCTGTGTGTCCTTCATTGTCCTCTTCTTCCTCCAGGAAACTGCACTGGTGGCTTAGTGGTTAGACCCTTAATCCCTGATTGCTCCCCAGGCGCTGCATGGTGGCAGCCCACTGCTCCCCAAGCGGATGGGTGAAGATGCAGAATTGAATTTCTCCCTTGCGAGATCAATAAAGTTCAATTACTTTATTAATTATTATTATCATTATTATATGACCCTAAAACAATCCTGGATCAGAGGTGACCTTGGTTCCTGCTGGAATCTTCTGAGTCATTTTTTCCTTGCAGCTTCACCTCTTACCTTGAAATTCTTGATGATCCAGAAAAAACACGTTCTTTCTGCGGTGACAATGTTTTCTTTTGTGTTTTGGCTCTGAAGCCTATTGGGTAACCGAGGCAGATTTTCCTTGACTGATGAGGTGTGTTTGTGTGACATTTAAAGCGTTGACAGACGGCTGAATTTTTAGCCGATTTAGAAAATGGTTTGAGTAGAACTAAAAAATATGACACAGCAGCAAACTGAAATTAAAAAAAGATTGTGTCAAAGGAGAACATGCACCCTTCGCATCCCAACCCTCCCCTTAACTCGCTTTGACTTTCTCCTTCATTCAAACCACCATTATACTGAGTTTATTTTCCTAATGACAGAATTATGGAGTTAAGGACTCTAACAAAGTGAGGTCATTATAACCACTCGGCCTGCTTTATATTTATCATCCGTTTGATGACATCACAGACCAAATAAAGTACCAAGACATTAAAAACCCGACTGCATTAAAAAACTAGATTCCCGAAACTGAATTTCCCTTTGTGGGTAATAAAGTATGAATCCTCAAACCATCTGCAACTTTGTAAGATGAACCAAAAAATGTGAACTCCATGTTAGGATCCTGGTGAGATATCAGTGAATGGCCATCTGAAGCTCATCCTAAAACAACAGACACATTAAAACATTAATGTCTGTCTATGGTGTTATACTGCATCTGATTTTCTCTAACAGAGATGTTTGCTACCTGTGGCTCTTTGGGCCTGAATGGCTTCAATGCAGGAATTTCTATTAATATTAAGGTAACTCTTTTTGTTATCTGATGGAAAACTAAATCCCTATTTGTCTTTATTTTTTTTTTTTCAAACATGATATTCAAGAATTAAGAAAACATATAGAGATGCACATATTCAAAGTTTCTATCTTAGTTGATAACACGCTGCTATCATTTAGCACATCTCTAATGTCGCTGCTATTTTCAAATATCCATTACTGTAAAAATGTCCACAGCTGTGTATTTTTTTTTTATTCTCCATATGCTCAGTTTTTATATTGTTAAAACATTTTACAGAACAGTATTTTTTTTTTTAGTCTTTTAACTCTTCACTATTATGTTATTGTTATAAATTTTTTCTAATGTCCACATTTGTGTGAACATTTTTTCTATAATCTTTTTGCTGCCGCAACACCAGAATTTCCCCATTGTGGGACAATAAAGGGGTTTTCTATTCTTGTCTATTCTATTCTAGATTTTTTTGCAAGTACTTTAATACCTTTTTTCTTCTAAAACCTTCAAGAAAAACAAAACAAAGCTTTAATTCTTCAATGTTCCAAAAATGAAATTTGATGAATTATCTTTACAAGTTGCGCAGATTTAATAGCTCTAAAAGCAATTTCACCAAGTATGATCAAGGGCAAAAATGCCTTTGGATTATGTCACCTAATGATTGCTGGTCTAACGGGAAGTGCTTCGCGAAAAAAGGAAACTTGCATGCAAGATTTTCAAGAGGAGAATCTGTTTATTGTTGTCAATAAGGAAGCAGCGAGGTTCTAAAGCCAAGCAGAGGTAACCGTTTTCCTCTGAACAAGTTAAATATTTGCTAAAGCTGACCAAAAGTCAGCCCGTAGCGTAAAGCAGCACAGGCGTGGGCAGCAGGTTCGTAATGTTCATCTGCAAGTGATTCAGTGTAAGAGAAGTTATGTCTGGAAAGTCGTCAGTCAGATGTTTCTATATTAATAATAATGCTATTTTTCTTTTATTAATCCCAGTTGGGAAATTAGTTCTCTGCATTCAACCCATCCTAGCATCTAAACATAATTTCAAAAGTTGGAGTCCAACTACTGCGCTGGAGTAGTTATACTTCTTTAACTTTATCCAATGTGATGGAAACAAATGAATTCCCTTCGGGCTCCATTTTACCTGGTTTTGACCAACATGCATTTTCTAAAAGCATAGAAATACACGCTGGGAACGATTTATACACAAAGAAAAAAGGAGTAAAGCCTACCTTCAACAGCTTGCACTCTCTGGAGTCTGAAAATGCTGGGAACATTTCTTCATACTTCTGCATGGCAAGCTGAGTGGATAACAGGGAGGAAGTTATATCAGAGGCTCAGGAAATGGTGGCTACATGGTAGACAGATTCTCCGTAACTATACTCACCTTTGCATTTAGCATGTCTACACAAAAGTGACACAGCGCCGCCTTGAAGAAGTGATCCTTGGCACTGTATTTCAGCAGCGTACTGTCCATTGCATATGTTCCCACCTGAAAACCAGAGTTAAAACTTATTCTGCGGCACTTAGTTCACTAGGTTAGCTGTTACTGTTCATCATCTCACCTGTTCATAGATCTCTATAGCCTTTTGATACTGCTCCAGCTGAGCTGCATAGGTCGCAACTTTCAAAAGGCACTTGTTTGCTGAGCTGAACAAAGAAAAATCAGCAATCGTCTTGTTAAATAAAACCAAAAATATTTAAAAAAAGGAAAAAAGAACACATTCATTAAGAACAAATATTGAGTAATATGTAGAAAAATGTTTAGAAATAAAAAAATAAAAAACATGTAGCTTATTTAAAATATTCACCTGGTGGATTCTTCACCTTTATAATAATCTGCAGCTTGTTCATAATGAGCAATGGCCTGTAAATTAAATATTTTCATCAATAAAATAAGCAGAATTAGAACTAAAACCTAAAGTTCTGTTTGCTTGATTTTAACCTGACCTTGTCGATGTCCACCAACTCCGTCTCATATATCTCTGCAATGGTGATGTGATGTTTTGCTGCGATGGTGAAACGACCCTGAAAACACACACGGGAAACAAAAGAAATTCAGATGTAATAATTTGATGTTAACCCTAAGTTAATAATAAAAGAAGACACTTGGAGTAGAAAAACTCACCATATCGGTGTAAATTTCGATAGCTCGGTTTAAGCAGTTGATGGCCTCTGTTGAGAGAGGAAGTATTAAGAAAGAGAAATTAAAGCAGAGGAATAACAAGAAAAATCATTCTGAAATTATTTTGAGGAAGATGTTTTAGTTCATTATTCTCAAACAATAAGAGACCTAGAATGCATCTTCATTACTTACTTTTATCAACCATGAATCTTTTTTTAGTTTTGTTTGTTAGTTTATTTTCAAATTATTAAAAAAGAGCAAAAGACACAGATAAAAATAAAATAAATGTATGCAGTAAATTAATATTTCAGAACATTCACTGCTTAATGCTTGAAGTATGAAGCATAAAATAGTGTAATTTATAGTTTCATTTAAAAATAAAATATAATTTTAAAGAGCTGTTTTTTCCCCTCTCTTTCCAATGTGTTCTTCTATCACCTTGTAACCTTTAGTATTATGTGCTGCTCCCAGACCCTGTGCAACTGATTAAATATTATATTAACACACGTAATGCATTTTTATGGCACTATATTAGCTTACTATAACTGCACTTCAAACAGTACTTTGCTGTATAGATATTCTACACTGATACTGTAATGACAAGTTTTTTTTCACATAATATGTAGCTATAGTACAAACATTTTGAATTACAGTAGTTTATCAATCTCTTTACGGTTAATATTCATCCCCAGAAAAGTCTAGGGTAAGGGGACAAAAAAAAAACATTGATATGCTGAAATGTATTGATTTTGCCAGTAATTTTGACTGTGGTGGAGGCCGCCATTTTTATAATGTAGTTTTTACTGTGCTACCTTGACTCGGCGCAGGTGGTGGTAGACAGAACAATAGGCATAAATGACATCACAGCTGGACAACATAAATCTTTATATATCTTATTTACATAACATATTTATCCAAATATAAAGCTGCTGCAGAGCTAGAAGTCCCTTTAGTGACGGACTTCTGCACCCTGGGTGCACAAAGCTGAATTATTACGTATCCTTCCTCTTAGCAGTTATACTTTAGTTTATAACCATCCCTCCTCCGAACAAACCATAAATGTTTACATCCTTGATGTTTTAGTATACTTTTCGATTATTCAAATATTGTTTTTTTTATGCAGAGATATGTATAGCTGTTTTGTTTTTTTAAATAATCTCACTCAGATAACCATCACTTATAGATTTATAAACTCTGTTGTCTTTTTTCTTTACCTTTATTTTGCTGTTTCCAACCTTTTTTATTTATCCTCCACTACTAGACCTGAACACCCCCACAGTTGGACAATAAAAGATATTTCTATTTCTTATATTGTTCTGACAGTAAGTAGCGGTGTTGTCAACTAATACCTCCAATTTACAAACATGTTTTATTAAAAAATCATGTTTTAATAAAACTTTCATGTTGAATTCCTCCTCTAAGAGGAGAAAATCAACTTTAAAGTTGGTCGTGACTGAAGCTCCATGAAGTTTATGTATTTAGTACAACTACTCATGGGGATGAAAAAATACATGGCAGCAAAGTTTCTTATAGTAACACATCATAAGTAAAACTTCCTTTCTGATGGCAACTTTCTTGTAAGCTCAAAGTAAAAACAATCACAGCATTTAGAAATGTGTAACATCACAATATTCAGAGCTGCTACAAAGGAAAATACCTCCTTGGTTTGCCTGCCACCTGATGGTGAAAAATGGTACTGCAGCTTATATAAACTGGTGCTTTTATCCAGCAGCTATATTCTATTATAAATCCAAGACCCGATTACTTAGAAGGCAGTGAAAATTGAAAACCCTCAAAAGATCTATTCTAACATTTACTGGAGAAATAAAGCTTTGGGTCATAACAATCAAAACCCACCCTACATTCAAAAACAGATGGTCACCCACTCCTACAGAACTCCCCCAGAAGGCAATCTAAAAAGCCAGACACATTCATTCCACCCATGAACTTCAAAATGCTATGAACAAACCAGCTTAAATAATTAACATTATCCACAGCAGAAGTGTGGAGAGACCTGCTTTGCTTTCTTTGAAGTGATGCTCTGTATTATAAAAAATAATGCACAATATTTTCAAACCAATGCTCCTTCACGGTTTGTAAAGTTCAGTGCAGTCTCCAGGAGCCACTCATCCTGTATCACATAACCAAGACTCACCTTGTGGATCGGCTTTTTTGAACGCGTTTCCAGCATCTATCAGGTTCGTTGCTGCATCGTGTTTGCTCTGCATTTGCAGGTGAAGATGAGCAGCTTTGGAGAATGCATTTCCTGCAGCTGAGAGGAAACAGTGGCACGTTAAAGGGGGGGATCATGAAAAACATTGTGGAAAAGAAAAAATGATGTTGATGCTTCTCTTACCACACCAGTTCTTGGCCATCTTGTACATGTTGGCTGCTCTGACATACATGTCACAGGCCTCCTCCAACTTGGAGGAACTCCTGGAAAACAGCACAAACATGATGACATGGATGGACAAATTATATTGTCAGCACCAGAATCCTGTCCATCTTAGTTACGTTTAATTACCCGGATAATATTTTGCTGTTAACATCTCTTCTATAAAAAGTCTCTTGAGTTTAATTTCATTGAATTTATCTATGTATTTGACAGGGATGTGTACATTAATAGCATTGCTGCAAACGCAGCAGAATTAGCCAAAGGACTTCAGTCGTCCCCAGACAGATCTGAAAAATGTCAGTTTGTTTTTAAGGAATACGGATCTATATGTGATTGTGGCTTCCTACAGTTGTTTTTTTATTACATGTTTTACAACAAAATAGCAATACTAATAATAATAATAAAAAAAAAACTAAGTGTCTTGCAGCGGAAGCATTTTGAAAATACATCTCTTGTTTCCCGGTTGATATGGATTCCTTTTGTCGCTTTCTTGTTTCTTTTTAATAAAAAGACAAATTAAACAAAATTAACAAAAATGTGCTGCAGCTGATGAGAATCTGCACTTTGGATTGAACAAGTTTATCCTTAAAACTTTCTTATTTGATCAAATACTAACGTACCATCAACAACAAAGGCCGAAATGACTAAAAGAGGGAAAGAGGACCTGAAAGATTTAGATGCCCTCAGTGGGATTGTTCTTTTATTCCTTCTATCCTGCTAAAAAATCTTTAAAATTTACTATTAAAAAATAGTGTTGTCAAAAGTATCGATACTGAAAAGTTGTATCCGGATACAATACTCATTTTCAAAAGTATCGATACAGTGCTACAACCAGTGGCACCTAAACATTCATTCATTTTATGCGCAGATTAGAGGAAAATGCACTTTCTGAACACTGTGTGATTGAATAATTCTGTGCACTTTTCGGTTTCAGACTTTTTACTGTAACAGGTGCAGCTGCTGAGAATTATTTTTGTTTTATAACTGGTTTGGCTAGTGTCATTGTTATGTGTGTAAAGCATAGCCAAGGAAGGAATATTGTTTATTGTATTTATCTATTTATTGTATTTTGTTTATTAATGAAAAAATTTCTGTTGAATTTTGGAGTCGTTTTTATCCTTGTGGTATTGAAAATGACATCGAGTATCGAATATTTTACTTAGTATCGGTATCGAGTTGAAAAGTTTAGTATCGTGACAACTCTATTAAAAAAACATCATCAACAATTTTTCTAAATAGCCTCATGCAAAAGACACACATGTAAAATAGCAATTTGTGAAACTGCAGTAAATTCATAATACTGTGTAAGTTTTGAGTTATATGTTTTATTTGTCTTATATTTTGCTTCAAAGGGACCATCATAAAGGCAACCTTATGACTGACCTTATCAGTCATATTTTTGGTGAGTCTTAAAACAACATGGTCATTCTTTAAAAATCCAAAACTGTTTTTGAAATGATGCATTTATAAAAAACACTTTAACTCTGACCGTTGACCATGAAAGTATCAACCAGTGCCTGAACTAAAAGAAGAATTTGGTCCTTCATACGACAGACAACTTGGTATGATGAATAGTATCATATAGCACCAGTATCTTCGGGAAATGTTTTTTTTTTTTTTAAAGATCTGACACAGTTTGACTACAGGCGACAGCAGCAAAAACAAACAGTTAAACTCCAGCAACGTGCAATCATGGTGCTGAGAGTAAAAGGATCAGCTGAAACACAGAATGATGACTTTGCTGTTGCAATGCAGCAACGATGGCGGACTTTTGCCTCTCTGTAGCTTGGAGTTTGCAAATTCTCCCTGTGCATGTGGAGGTTTTTTCTGGGTACACCAGCTTCCTGTGTGATGTGCAGGATGTGTGTGTGGCTGCCTGTTTTGTTAGCTTTTTTCTACCTGCTCCTTTAACTAGGATGCACCCTGCCTCATGCTTTAAGATTAATTGAAGTCTTTAATCTTCATGGTTGTTAGATGTTAGGTTTTGTTCAGTGCGATCATTTTTTTATTGGTTGCTTTTTTATGGGTATATGGCAAACCATTTTTTTTTTTTATTGCATCTGCAATATTGGAACCAGCTGGTTTTACTACGTTAAATAACAACTAAAAAAAAAAATTAGGAGGGTTTGTGAGCCTTCAATAATTTCTGAAAAAATTAATATAACATTTTTTAGTTTGTTACTGTGATCAAATGTGACTTGCATGTGACGTGCAGAGAAAGACTTTACCGTTAGGGGGCGCTACGTTAAATAAAGTGTCCGTACATGTTAAATTGTATACAGTAAACGTCCTTTAGGTCACATTTAAGCAATCAAAAATACACTACTGTATCCAATGCTGCGAATAAATGGGCTCCCAACAGTTTATGTTGCTGTTGTCAGTGGCAAAAATAAAATATTACAAGCCGCCGTTTCCATGTTCAGTTTCTGTCTGAGAAAGTTCATTTTAAACATTAATTAAAAACCCGTCGCGTTAAACACGCTGACTTAACATTATATTACTGACAGCTGCGGTAACGTTTAATGTTTTGCCTTCAGATGTGATGCTAACTGTGCAGCTAATCACCTTCCGCATAGTTGGCCCTCATAGGCTAACTGTCAACACTCACCCAAACAACGAGCCGAAAAACGACTGAGAAGACTTCATCTTCTTCTCTGCCTCCGCTATTAACGCCGCGGCTTCCTTCTCTTTCCCGCTATTGTCCATTTTTGCTAGATTTCCCCCAAACAGTCCGGAGGGGCGAGATATTGCGAAAGTCAACAAACTTAGCTAACGAGTGCTAGCATGAGCAGTGTCACATCACCAACTACAGGCGAGCCAGTGTCACGTGACAGCTGCTGCGTTCAGGAGCTCTTTGTAAACACGGACACGGCAAATTTCCCATAGATGTCATATTTTTAAGAAGGGCCTCTGCGAAACTTTTAGAAATCTTCTGATATTAGTATTTCACTTCTACGAGGAGGATTAGGGCCACCGAAAAAAAAAGTTAACTGATTTT